GAACTCGGTGACACCCAGTCTTGCAGCATCACTTTGCACTTTGAAGGTGCAAAGCACATGGCGAACGGAGTGACAGAACTTGCTAATCTGTCAAATGCTCTTTGTGCATCTTCCATAAATTCGAACAAGCAAACGATGTCGTCAGCGTACCAAATCGCACAGCTTTTCTCCAGCTGCCCATTCAATACCCACATTTTGGAGACCACTTGGTGTGTTCTCCAGTATTTCGTCTATGAGGAAATTGAACAGGAATGGCGAAAGAGGGCACTCTTGACAAACACCGCTGCTAGTTACGAACGACCAACTCAGCTCGCCGTAGACCCTTGCGCTACCAGAAGTATGTGAGTAGAGTGAACTCAGTATATTCACATATTTCTGCGGTATTCCTTTACGATGGAGTAAACCCATAAGGCTTCGCGATCAACTGAGTCGAAGGCTCCTTTTAGTTCAAGGAACACGACAACCTTTGGTCCATGGTGCGTATGTCGTAGCTCGAGTACTTGACGCAGGGTGAAGATTTGATTGATACAACCGCGACCTGGTCGAAATCCTGCTTGTTGTACGCGGATGTTTGTCTCCCTAAACGGTGTCAGACGTCGAAGTATAATGGAGGCTAGCAACTTGGTGACGATTGGGATCAAACTTATTCCACAGTGGTTGGCGCAGTCATCGCGAGATCCTTTCTTAAAAATTGAAATATCATTAATTCCCTCAGGATGATGGAATGCGCTCGTGTAACCAGATGTTACGCATTAAATCAGTGATAGAGTCTACAAGGTCATCGCCTCCCATCTTGAAAAGAGTGGGAGGAAGCCCGTCTGGTCCTGCTGCTTTTCCTTTCTTCAGAGCTTGGATGCAAGAATGAACTACAGTAGGAGATTCAGATGACACTGCCCATGGAGCCTCAGCGACATCAGAGGAGATAGCCTGGTTAGCGCCTGGCCAGCTGAATTGTTCGTTGAAGTACTCCACCCACTGGTNCCCACTGGTCAAGCCGTTGTTCCCTATTGTGAATGGCTTGCCCACTTTTATCGCAGATTGTTTCACTAACTGTAGTTAGCCGACCTCCCGTATTGCGTATCCGTTGGAACAGTCTCTGACTATTCCCTGATGCAGCCGCTACTTCCATTTCACTGAATATCGTTGCTCACCAGTTCTCACGGTCTTTCTTGAGGCTCCTCGTGAGATGACGTTGTAGACGCCAGTTAACCCTGCCTTGATCCCGGGTGGTTGGGATTTACCGCTTTTTCTCCATCAGTGCTACTGACTCATCAGATATGCCTCGGGTGGGCAACTGCTTCAGATTCACAAGCAACGTTCTCTGCAGAGTGCATTGCTCGGCTGACGAGGCTTCAAAATATGCAATCTATTTTATGGTAAATTACTTACTGAGCTACTTTGCAACGAACTTTTGCGAGTGACGAACAAGTTGTCTGAGGGAATGTTATGGGTCGGTAGAAGGGGTAAAGAGAGAGAGAGAGTTGGGTGCGGAAGACAAAGAGTTAATCAAAGGTTGGGATATCTGAGCAGTAGCCCACTTATCACTACCTACCCCGCTCGATGCAATAGGCAGCGCGGTCCTGATTATCCTGTGCGGCGACCGCTGCAGTATGGAATTATTTTTTGTTTGTATATGCATTTGAGTTTGATGGACGGGTACCGCCAGGGTGTCCAGCAACTAAGCAGGAGAACGATTAGGGTTCTCGTCCAAAGCCTTTAGTTCTGACAAGAACCTGACCGCAAGGCAGCGGGTAAAGCGAAGTAGAGGCCCATTTACTTGGATCAATTACTCCTCTACCATTTTGCCGACTGAGACGCTAACTCGAGTCGAAACCCCAACCTGGAGGACCAGGAGACTAGACTTCGTCTGACCTCTACCCATTCACCTTCCAGGCATGGTTAGATCTGCGGCTTGAAAAAAGCCATCCCGTATAGCTCATTGGGTCAAAGAGGTGCCCAAGCCATCACAGCACGTCAAGGTGCAGTCTCATCGTGATGGGCTGAAGACCTGAGATGGTGAGTAGGTATCGGTTATCACAGACGCTAGCTAGGCAAGCGTCACATCTCTTGTTGCATTAGTACCATCCGATCATTCGTATGCACCCGCTGGACCTTCGTAGAGCAATAAGTCGAGCCCCACGCTGTTCACCACACCACTGAACTGTAATATAACCGTACTCCTGGCTCTCGCAGCACGCCGGAGTTGATGTGAATGCGCTACAGAATGCCCCATGTTTCTTGTTCTTGGCGATTCGAAATGACAACAAGCCAAGCGGGCGGTGGATGGTAGAACAGCGGGCAACGGCGATGCTGGCAAGGACAAAGGATTGCGAGGTAAACGCCAGGTACTTCCTCCGTGGATCGGGGTTAACGACAGATCTGCATAGTAAATGAGTCCAAATGTCATGAACCCAAACATTGAAATATTTCTGGAGCGGTTACTAAGCGCTACAGAACAACCACTAACAGCGAGAATACACAACCATTAAGAACCGGTGATCAAACAGTCTCGTGTCAGATTGATGTATTACAGTTTGAGTGAATTGTGGCAGATGATTGTCAGAGCGTAAATAGATCCCGAAGGAAATTCAGCTGTGTGAGGATATGGTCGAAAGCGAAAAGACGGCATGAAGCGAGTGAGTAATGGCACTGTATATACATTCGCAAAATTCTAGCCTGTGACAGGACATAGTTTTTGCGGCAACACTTCGTAAGCAGTCCAGGGTCTGTTAGATGCCACCAACCGCAAGAATCTTGGTTGATTTCCATTTTCCGAATATGATGTAGTAAGTAGAATTTGAACGACTGGATAAATTTTACCTCGAAGCACAGCCGATCACTGGCCTGTGAAAAAACGTGATGCCAACGCGACAACATTACCTATATAGGTGTATCTGCCACTCTCTTTCTAGTCATTCGTATATTTGAACCCCAGGTGTATATTTTCTCCTTGAATTTTGAATCTGTGACATGTGACTTTTTATTTTGTGATATCGCCGTTTCAAGACAGTTACTACGAAATTTTATTCCAACTGTTTGTCTTATTCTCATATCAGTGAAACCATTTCAACCATCATGCAAGAGATCGTTCAACTTGATAGTGCTTTGACTGCGCTGCTCATCCCACCTGGTCTATGTGTTTGTGCGATCCCAATAATCCAACCTCCTCCTCCTCATCCGGAACCAAAAAAAGAATGGAGTCAGATTCAAGGACTTGTACTCCGTTGGTGGACTGCAGTTCACCGACTTCGAGAACGATTGTTCTCGCTATTCGAAAGTGTAATTTTATCAGATCTGGACTACTGTAACACGGCTCACGTGGAACAGGGTATGTGGAAGTCCGTATTTTACACAGTTTTGGAACTTCTGCGCTCTTGGATCGGTAACCCGGAATCCACAGGGTTAGTTATCTGATCTGTCGACTAAATCCATTTTATCTTCGCTTTTTTCTTTTTGATGTCGTGTTAACCTGTGTACTGCTCTTCACTTTGTCAGTTTTTTGCAGGGTATAGTGATTATGTTTGACAAGCTGCTATTCTGTACACAAACTTGATAACAGTGGTAACCGTTACCGCCTTACCATTTTTGCCATTTTCACGTTTATCTTTTTGGCGTACTTTGAAGCCCTTACCGAAATGAAAGCAGATTAGGAAGGGAAACTTACTTAGTTATATTTTGAAAAGTCCGGGATGTTTCACTGCATACAAGTTTCTATTGTTGTCAACTACAATTGGAGAAATGACTTGCAATAGCTATTTGAAAAAAATTGGCTACATACCGGTATCTTACTTGAGTCCTTTTTTCATCGTCATCACTAAGAGCTCGCACATTGACTTAGTCAAATGGAAATCTGTGAAGCACTTGAATTGATCACCAATGGGATGTTTTCACTGTTCTTGTTGCATATTACGTACTCACCGGATACCAGAGAAGTGCATATAGCCGATAGGCGTGTGTTATTGTACAGCTTTATCACTGGTCCTCATCTCAACGAGGTCAACGAGGTTCCCACTTATCTCTGGCGTCCACCAAAGACGGATCCGTCACCAATACCACTGAACTACGTCAGAGACTGAGTATTGCGTTGCGCTCTTACGGAACATCAAGAAAATCAAGCCAGTTACACGTTTTGAGCTGCCATTCTCTAATTTATCGCCAGTTTCATTTGAGGGAACCGAAACCGTCGGTCTAGAGGCACATATTTCGAAAGCGAAGTTCTCTACAACGTCTCCAGACCTGTCAGGTTCTATCGAAATCGATGGTAGAACATTTGAACAAGTGCGTAGGATGTTCTTCCAACCAAATGGTCAAGCTAGAAACTAAGTCAAGCTACGCTGCACTGGAAGGGTATTTCTACAAATTAACAAACCTTTGTGGCTCCGCAGCGGAAGAGGCCTTCAAACAAGCTGCACCGTTATCGATTCACCGTCTATCTCGTCCTCATATGCGCTCGCGGAACGTGGCCACAAAATATATGAGGGGAAAAAGTGAAACGCTTCAACCACTGGGGCCTCCAATGTGTAGCTAACGCTAATTTGTATGACCGCGCTTCAAACCATGCCGTTCGCCAAAAAATCGAGGGTATAGGGATTATCCTTGTTTCTCCAACGGCACCATCTTTAGTTGTTCTGGCATTTCCTTTGCTGACCAGGTACAGAACCCACGAGAAAAAGCATGTAACCAACAATTTCGTATGGGAAATGTCGAGGGATGACCATCTAAAGACGTGGGTTAGTACAGTCAGATACCATGTAGATGGTATAGGTCTTCAGTAGTAGCTGCACGGAAATGAAGTAGAAGTAAGCTGGTGCTTTTTTACCTCAGGGATTCAATGATTTACTTGGGGCTTTTGTCAAGCCAACACACTGAGTTCTAAAAGTGATCCCTAGAAATTATCCAGTGATAAAGTTCTAATTAATGATAGATAATATCTACCCACTTTTCCCTCTCGTGTTTCACAGATTACTTCAGATTCACTCACAGTCGTCCCCCAAGGAATCTAGTGAAGAAAGTGATGTTATTTATGTCTTGCGGCACATATGTCTCAAGGATGTGATCGAAGCTGGGGAGGAGAGATTATGCAGTCTTTTGGAACGTATTCAGAGCAACAACCAGATCTGTTTGGCTCCGTTGTTGGCTGACGGACGTCCTCCTCCGGAAACCCGGTCCAGAACTCGTCGTTTGGTGTATTTAAGTGCCCAAAAGCTTATGCTATTTCTCGGCGATTTAGCACGCTACAAAGAAGTTCTTTTGGGCGATCGAAACTTTGGAAAAGCCAGGAAGTGAGTATTGAGGCGTGTTTAAATCACATTCTAAGCTAAATACTTAGTGTGTGGCTTGTATCACACCACAGCGGGTGATGGACCATGAAGGAGCAAATTATTTCATCGACCATTGTTTTAGGTTTTAATTATTTTTTGTTCATTCTTAATATGGGCTTTTCCGATAGACTAATCAAAATCAATGTATTGAAGTAATAAAGTAACAATTGCACACTTTGCTTGGAGTTGCAGTAGCTGGCGGTTTTTTGTAATTATTGTAATCATTTTGATGACAATCCATTAACTTAAATCGTTATTTAATATCTTCACTGTTTTCATTTCTCTCATCCTTCACACCAATTCGCTGCCTAATAATAAAGCACACGATTTACAATTACTTGAATGGTGATTCCTATTTTGCATGCTTAATATATGTATTTCATATCCATCGACGTCCAGTCCGTATGCTAAATGGATCATTGTAAGACACCTTTATAGCGCTCACAACTATTAGTGATATGTTTGTGATCGCACTACTTGCAGGATGCTCAAACCCAAGAAGGTAATTTCCTGGTATATATACATATCGTTTGGGCTGCACGATTGCAGCTTTCGGTCAAACAACACCAGATTTAAAAGAGCGGGCAGCTGGGAAGTAGCGGACCTTGAAAACATATGGACATCACATATATTGCAGTACTTAAATAGTTCCTTGACCTAAGAGGACCTTTCGACTCAGATGACCGCAAATCCCTTGTGTTCACTCCGCAACGAAATACCTCAGAGGTATGTGAACATACTGAGTTCACTCTAGTAGCATACTTCTGGTAGCCAGCGGGTTTGCGGCGAGCTAAGTAGGTCGTCCGTAACTAGCAGCGGGGTTCGTCAGGGGTGCCCTGTTTCACCATTCCTGTTCAATTTTGTCATAGACGAAATACTAGAGAACGCACTAAGTAGTCATTAAGATGTTGCTATTGGATGGGCAACTAGAGAATAGCTGTGCGACCTAGAGTACGCTGACGACATCGTTTGTCTGTTCGAATGTGCGGAGGATATACAAGTCGCACTTGATAGATTAGCCCGTTCTCTTGCTCGGTTCGACGCGCTTTGCACCTTCAGAGTGCAAAGTGATGCAAGGCTCGGTGTCGCCGAAATCTGTTCTAAAACCAGATGCTGAGGAATTAGTTGAAATTGACGGCTTCTGATACTTGGGTAGCTGCGTAATCAATGACGTTGACGCACCACAGGAGATGGCTGCCGAATTTCCAAGGCTCAAGCGGTGTACACAGGACTAAAACAGCTTTGGCGACGACGTGACTTTTCACTGAGATTCAAGCGTCGCGTACAATCATTTCTGTTTCACGGTTGTGAGACCTTGGATTTGCCTAGTGGTTTTCGACAATCGATGCTTATGTAGTGTGACCCATTTTGGATGAGCAGCTTAGTGACTTACAAATAAGTCGTTGCATGTTTGGGAATGCATCGAACAAGAACTCGCGATTGCATGGAATCTAGTTCAATAGGCTCCGTTGATTTGCGTATGCCTAACGGTCGCCTACTGCGGCGCACATTATTTGCAGTAGGTGTTCCAGATTGGAGAAAGTCACGTAGAGGCCAGCAGATGACGTGGAGACGAAACGTAAAGAAATGCATAGAGCGATTAGATAGGGTAGGTTTCTCTCGCCCTATGGGTTGGGGTCCAAAATAATTCGTAACTGGACGATTGGAAACATTGAAAGTCATGGCTGCGAACCGACAGCAATCGCGTTCATGCTGTCACTTCTTATCAGACCAGAATGCATGAAATAGAATGTACGCACTATTGGACTGTGTATTCTGTGTTGACCGTAGAAGTTCGGTTTCTTTCTCCGTCCCTTAAAATAGGCCAAATCTCTATCCTCCCTACCTATTCTCACCCAGCTTGCATGTATTATGAGTTTGGCAGCGATTAGTGAAGTTCGCTTCACTGTGTTACGTTGTTCGATGATGACAATGATGCTACTGCCCAGAAACCTCAAACATTTTTAAGTCTGTCTACCATGCCCCATTATCTCCTCTGACCCATTCTTCTTGGTGAGTGAGACAAATTGGATCCCGGGTGCAAACTTGTGCACACTAATAGCATTACGAACCATACAGTTTATATCAAGCCGTCCAGACATGGTCCATTTGGTATCGCCAACTGACCCAGAGTACACTACGTTTGACATTCAATGAATGAATTTAGCGCTGCACGCACATCTGTACCTTCATGTTGTACCGAAGGTCGCTGAAACGGCAAATTTTGATCAACCTTAGAAGATTGCGCAGTTCTCAAACTCCTTTGATTGTTTCTTGGTTGATTGATATATGTATATCGAGCACAGGGCTACAGGCTTTGTATTGATATGAACTTGAAAGGGTAAAACTTGACTGGGAACAAACTGATTTTGATTCTCGCGTTTTAGAAGGTTAATTGTTCTTTGTTGTGCACTTCCATCGGATGCAAAATTAAGTGAGGTGACCAATAGTGTCAGCACTGCTCTCCTCATTGGTATTCCTAATTTTAATATATAAGCTTTGGTCGTTACTTCGATCGGTATGTACATCAGACCCGAAAAAATGAAGCAAGTGTAAGATATTTCCGAGCTTTTTAGTGGTTTAAGTTATAAGCGCGCCCCGTTTCTGTTGGTAAACAAGCTGTTTATTTTCGTCGGATATGAAAACATCCTAAAACTCATGAGAAATTTAACTTCTATTCTATATTACTCGAACTAAGGTTTGATAATGTGCATTGTTTTTTCACAGGTGTCCGAGTTGAGGCTGCGTGCCAAGTATCACATGGTACATCAATAAAACAAACAAATCAGTCCATGATAAAGTATATTAAGATTATCCATTAATTACGAGTTGACCATCGTGATGCTCACCGGCAAGTGCGCTGCTCAACGGCAATCTGGGTACCCTGGATAGTTGTCCGCATCCGAAAGGCTTATGAACTAGACACCCAGAGGATCGTGAACTCCCTACTCCACTGCCTTGTGGGTCAGGTTCTTAACCAAAGGCTCCAGGTAGGGTCCCCCAAGAAAACCCTCTACCTCGGCCTGAGCAACCAGGTAGTACCACGCCCACAAACTAACCATAGACTTATGGACGTACACATACACGCATGTGACAGAATATTACACCTCCACAAAGTTTTCTTTAAAAATCTGCACGCAACACTTCCACCCGCCCCCCCCCCACATAATACCCCCATTTTTTCAACTGT